TATATTGCACAATATCCTGATGTAGATCGCAAGCACATCAATAACGAGTCACTTGGGTAAGGTTTTGGGCAACCTTCTTGAGCACTCGTCTAATTGCTGCCCTGCAATTGGACACAATTGGTGCAAATGATCACAACAAGGCGGATTCCACAAATTGTTTGTACAAATTCTAGATACCCCTCACTTGCGCGTTAGCTTCATACTCCTTAAGAATACAGTCACTATTACGTCCAGTTGCCCACGAACGGACTTCACTGCAAGCTGAGCACATATGTGCAAACTTTGGATAAAAGGCTCCAGAAATTTATACCTCGCCCAGATACATATCAACTTTTGAAGCTTGCGTACGTAGAAAGATACTTTGATCATAATGCACGTAGCACAAGCGCATTCGAACACACGACCCATCGCTGAGTAGGTAGGCGTGTGTGTGATACGTGCATTGCCAGACTGTCTTGCATACAAGTAGAAAACCCACGCATTTTTCAACATGATTCTGTGTTGATTCTGTGTATACTTCATGCAATAACAAAAAGCTTCGACAATGATTGTATGCTAAATATCTGATTTAGTACTACATATGGAATATACACGGGATCACAATGCAAAAGCACTACACTGCGGGCTACACACTAGTGTGTCGTAGACACAGATAATAGCACCAGGAGTAGCCCATATATAGCACGCTCAACATGTCACATAAAAACAAAGTATTCGTGTTAGATTTGTGTTATGAACACATGCCCATTGTAGTATCCATTCCAGGAAATGGTACATCATGCAGATACCTATCGTAGCGATCAGGTGACGATTTTCATGAAGTACAGTACTGTCGTAGGTGTTTGTGAGATAACTATATGCCTATTCAAGCAGAAACCCTTGTGATATACACATACCCATTGTAGCAAACACAACAATCACTCTGCTCCTCGTCGATTGCTAGGCATGGTTGTACAGCCAAACCACCACCAGGCAACTGAGCGTGTTTAGGGTCATCGCCGGAGTGCTTGTCCGGACACTCTGTATCGCCCCTATCCATAGTTGATCTGCGACTAGATGGTCATCTATAACCTAATTGCGCCCTATACTGATACTCGCAGGTGCCACCTTGGTTTATTTTTTAAAGTCTTATAACCAACGGGCACTGTATTTCACAAGAGGCATGAAAGGGGTCTAGATCCGTGCGTGTGCTGGGGTGTGCTGGTGAGAGTGTGGGTGTGAACTTCTACTGAAGAAGAGGAGATACGTATTTGTGAGTGTGCAAATGTATATATGTATGCGCGTGGACCAATTTAAATACTATACACGTACCGAACCTTCACATTGGCATTCCTTAAGATGTAGAAATATAGAATTTCGGCAAGAACTTCTATTGAACACTACTATCTTGAGTTCCATGAACCGGAAGCAAAGCCAATACTTTAGCAGCATGAATATCTTATACTTCACTAGCACCGCATACTCTGTACTATTTATATATACTCTGCACTGTACTGTACACTCCTCCGTCACAGGCAATGGTGAAGCTATTCAGCAATGCTATATGGCACTATACGCCACGATAGTTTTAAAAAAGTTATATATAAATATAGCCCTCCAAGTTTATATAGGTGATGAACGATTGCGTCAGCATTTTCTGAATGAGTCCCCTGGACATCAGCTCAAAAAGTCAAAATGCTATACGTTAACCCCCCAACTGATACAGGATGGGTGCTGAAATCAAGACAGATAACGTTTATCCGTTTGTACACGTTTACGCTTACGGACGGTGTTTATGGAACACTTTCGTGTGCAGACGTGCAGGCGTTGGCCCACTTTAAGTGGTCGCTATGTGTGCAGTGTAGTATCCACTTTAACGCTGTAGATTAGGCGACTATATACAATCGAGTAAACCTATACTACATGCTGGATTACTTTTGTCACTGCCTGAACTACATACTGTGTTATTATTGTCACTGCAGACTTGCCTACCTGTACGGTCTGGTCAAGTGGCGTCACTCTCGTGTCAGAATAGCAGCTGTTGGTTTACACTTGCATCTGCAGCGGATGCGGTGGTACGTTTGCGTAGTATAAGTGCATGGGGTCTAGTCAAACGGTGCCACTCTCTCGTGTCAGAATAGTAGTATGCACCTTCATGTGCAGTGGATGCGGTGGTACGTTTGGGTAATATTTGTACATGGCGTCTGGTCATATGCTGTCACTCTCGTGTCAGAATAATAGGTTGCACCTGCATAGGTAGTGGTTGCGGTGGTACTTTTACGTAGTATATGTACATAGGGTCCGGTTAAGTGGTGCCACTCTTCGTGTCAGAATAGCAGTTTGCACCTGCAAAGGTAGTGGTTGCGGTGGTATTTTTACGTAGTATATGTACATAGGGTCCGATTAAGTGGTGTCACTCTTCGTGTCAGAATAGCAGTTTGCACCTGCATAGGTAGTGGTTACGGTGGTATTTTTACGTAGTGTAAGTACATAGGGTCTGGTCAAATGCTGTCACTCTCTCGTGTCAGATTAGCAGTTTGCACCTGCATATGCAGTGGATGCGGTGGCGCTTTCGTGTAGTATATATACATAGGCCTAGTCAAAGAGGCCACTCTCTCGTTTGTTGTATTGCTAGTTCTCAATCGGTAGTTACGTAAAGTGGATGTGGTGATAAAATAAAAAGTAGAGTTGCAACTAAAAAATCCTACACGATAGGTAGGGGTAGTGTTTTCTCAATTATCCGCTGGGAAGTAGTCACGTTATATTTCGTGACAACAACATAGTTCCCATTCAGTGTGTCAACTACAGCTAAGTATTTTTCATGCACTCGAATGTAACTGAATAGCCCCTATTGATGTGGCGCGATCGGTACGTCTTCACTGCACGATGCCTGCTGTAACGGAGATATAGAACAAGTGGAGTTACTGCTTTATCAGGGCTCCGATGTGAATGAGAAGAATTTTGTCGAGGTGAGTAGGGAGACAGCTTAGTATTGAAAATGGAATCTAGCGAAAATGTGCCCAATATGCATAACACAGACTTCCAGTTTGATAAATTGTATATGGAGGAGTCCCAATTCCGCCGAATCAATCCCAGTCGAAGTTTGCCCCACGTGCTTGTAGCGAGCTGAATAGTTGTATTAGATACATCTGACTTTTGGGCGCCTGTATATTGAGATCTGATGCATATCAATGGTTGGTTTGGTCATAGAATTCTGAATTAGATGGTATACACAATATATATTCGATCGTGCTATCCCCTCGGTTGTCTTTTTGGATACTATGGCGTAATCGCTACATACATTCGCTAGGAGCAGTCATCCGACCACCGTGACTCTATAACTTCAGTTATCCATTGGTGCTGATCAGGCTTCTTGTGGTTGTAATCGGCTAAACAGTTATTGTAAACATCCACTCCAGTATGGAGGGAGAGCTGAGTACCGTTCAGTGGAAAACGCATTTCGTATGTATGCAAATCTCTGTCACACCCGGGAGATAATCAGCGGTAATTGTAACTACAGCTGGCTTGTATGTCTCATAACTGTTGGAGGAAACTTCAGCCACTACATTATGCCTGTCGAGAGGATCATAGCGAAGTTGCGATTTTATTACTCGAAGCTGGTGCCGACATAGATGGCTCAACTGAGGTTTGAGCGATGTCTGGGTATTGCTACTGTAGTTTTCGGAGGGACATGTTTCAGGCTGTGGTGCGGCAGGCGTTTGGGTGCTGGTAGGAAGTGTATAGTTATAGCAATTTCGAGATTGCGTTCTCTCATACTGCTCAAATATATGGCAGTATAAAAAGATAGTGCAGCTCTCGTCCTGGTTTGTGGGGTAGTACAATCACTACTCCACAACATTTGTGAGTATGCTACACGCCTGCCACGCATGGGCGTCTTATGACGATGCATGGCCTGTACAGTGCGGTAAAAATGAATCATTATCTATCAAATAGAACATCTATGATTCTAGTGTCGAGTAATTGTAGAGTGTCTCCCCTAGTTGGCGTACTTCTCATGCGTAGCGACAATATGGATTTTGGTTAAGCATGCGGAAGTTTGAGTTAGTTTGGTTCTGGTTGTTGTACAACTGTGCTTATAATCGGGCTGTCCACTGGCGCACTATGTGAATTGACACTAGACACTGATAGTACTATGATAAATCTAGGGGTTTATGGAGAGTAATTTTAATCATGCACACATTGAATCTTCTACCAGCATTTAATAAACACTCTTCACCTCGACGGTGGTAGATCAGTTTCACATCGCACACGGTCTCAGACATATTATTGATTTAGAGGGCGCGTGTACAATACAACACAACCCGTGGAAATAAGGGGCATATGCGATGCTTATATCACGTTTGTCTTGCACTTACCAGGACGGTGCGAGACCACTACACTATGCTTGCAAAGGAGGCCGGCTGCACGTTGTGGAGCTGCTGGTTTCTCACGGTGCTGGTTTGGAGCTGAAAACTGAAGTGAGTTGTTTTGAGTTTATTATCGTGTTGCTACGTAAGATGCCAGACCATACGACACATTGTTATGGGATGTTGTAATAGATAGCACGGTACGCTCATATCGCCTGTATACGTTCTTTCTGAATGAGCTTTGCATTGTTTCCAAATATACAGATGTCGGACTAACAAATGCGCTGTTCTAGTTCGATGTAAAGAATTGTATATGTGCTCATTAGCTGTACTGCTAGGCGTGTATTTTTGCTTTTTGAATGCGTAGAGGCCTCGCCTGTCGTTTGTGGTTTTACACTCAACTTGTTGCAACGGTAGGCATTCTGGAATGCTTTAATACTAACTCCCATGTGGTGAGCATTTACTACTGCTGCCCAGGCCCAGATGGGCGAATACCCCATCGTTTTGCAACAGATAACTTACATATAGACCATACAATTGTGTGACATGTACACCTGGGCTGCACATATTATTTGTATAAGGCGTACACACTCTCATTATAGCATACATGGCCCATGGTACCACTTAAATTCCTTTAGCGTTATCATATTTACAATGGACATACGAAGTTGATACGTTTGTCTCATACTTACCAGAACGATGTGAGACCACTCCACTATGCTTGCAACCGAGGCCGGCTGCAAGTTGTGGAGCTGCTGATTTCGCACGGTGCTGATTTTGAGCCGAAAACCAAAGTGAGTATTTTTATTTATTTTTTATCGTGTTGCTACGTAAGATGCCAGACGCTGCGGCGCTTTGTGGTGGGTCGTTGTAGTTGATAGCATGGGAAGTTTATATAGCTTGTGTACGTCGTATTCTGTCTAAAAGTGTTTACATTGTTTATAAATATACATAGGTCGGACTAACAACTGCTCTAGTTTGATAAACCCTAAAAACCCTAAAACCCTAAACCCTTTCTTTTAAATTTGCTCAGCCCCCCTGCATCGTGCTCGGCGAATAGAGACTATTAGATGCCTTACTGTGACTCATGCATGTATTTACCTTGTCAACAAATCGATGTAGGACACATAGAGAAGTCTCGTTTAAACCTAGTATATATATAAACCATGCCCCTTATTTGCATGTACATGTTGCTTTTAGACTGAAGACGAATCGAAATAAGATGAGAACTAGCTTGCATGACAGTACTTCAACTGTCCGTGCAAATCATTCAACGTATATGTGTATTTTTCATGTGAAACAGTCTGGGATTACACCGCTGGATGCATGTAAGAAACCTAAAATCGAAGAATGTCTGCGGCAAGCGATCGACCGAGAAGTATGTCATCAACAAGGGTTTTGCAATAGTTCTCACTCGTGTTTTTGAGATTATTGTTTTCTGTAGTACATACACGGTCAGCCTTTTTACGCACCGGATTTGAAATTGATACCTTGGATGCCTATTAAGGGTTCTATCTGCGTTTGGAATGTCAGAGATTCATAGGTCAATTATATGCACGGTGCATTATGTCTTCCCTCGTAAACTTTGCATCTTTTTATTTGCGACCCATTCTTATCTTCGTGTCATAGATAATAGCATTGCTTGTCAGATAACTCATGTGCTATGGGTTGCAAATATTGCCTCCTATCACTTTGGTGTGGCTAGACATATAATTGTGCTGCCTATCGTGTAATAGATTTGCCATGGGTCTACAGGACACTTGGTTGTGTGGAAATTCTTTGTGTTATCAAAAGCCCATTCATTTTTGGCCTCGCACAGCCGCTGTACATTCCTTAAAATCTTTCTCATGATTACGATTGCGACAGCTGACATTGTGTAGATTTGCTGAGTGCATAAACGAGGCACGGAGTGACATTGTGGTACTAGCTCGGCAAGGTGCTGGGCGGACGGGCACGATCGCTGGCTATCTCAAGTACTGATGGAGAGGCCGTCTTGAGTTTTCTAGCTTTTTCAGATGCGTGCTACAAGCATGTGACACTGGGGCGACAGACACGACAACCAGTAATTGATATAGTATTGGAATGTTGTGCTGTATTGCGTGATGTGCTAACTTACACAGTGGCTGAGGGAACACGGGATGATGTGAAGCAGGCCGAACGGTCACTCGCAGAATTTGATGCTCTACAAACGGAGATCCGCAACACACTTGTAGTGCAGGATGAGACGACCTGCAAACGCAACATCTTGCGGCAACAGTGCATAGATCTTATCGATAATGCGCTTCAGAATTGTCCGACGGATTCAGGTGCTGAGATTCGATTGCGTGCATCTGCGCCACTCGACCGCTTACGATAACGTGCGCCAGAGGTCAGAGACAACCTACTCACTGATCTGGACGAATGGAGTATGCGCAAGCTATGTTATGGTGCGCATCTTATGTGTGAGCACCTTGCTATGGAGCTTGGTCACGACTCTCCCGACAAGAACCACGAATCCCCCGACAAGGACCACGAATACTCCGACATGGAAGGATATACTTATAACGTGATTGAAGAAGATCAATGAGAACCAGAAATTCAAAGGCCCAACCGGAATCTGTGTGATGAAGTGGTGAACAATGCCCGTGAGACACTACCGGGCGCATTGCTACGAGCATATGGATACGATGACCCCGACGAAACGATCAGACAGGACTGTATGAAGGCGTGTTTCGATGGACTCGGGAGAGAGCTGAGCTTCTTCAGAAAGAGCAACGATAGACTCATAAATTCGTTTACGCTAACCAATATCCTGGCCGCTATAGAGACCGCTCTAATCTCTGTTGTCGAATATTACCATCCAATATTTGAAGCAGAATGCACCTGCGATCACCTTATTGAGCAACATGTTCTGCTGTGTGCGGGAGTGGAGTATCCGGATGTATCGCTCGTAGAAAGGCAAGATACTCAAAGCAGTAACATATCACGGGAACGACAAAAATGGGATGCGTGAATCATTCTCGCTGATAGTGTATCGGAAGAAGATGCGTTAAGCGAAGGGCTTAGGGTTTGGGAGTGTGAAACTCGAAGTCGTGTGCAAGCTGCAGGCCGTGATTTTGCTGCCTGGTTGAAATATGCCGATACACACTACCCTGAATTGCTAAACCATCCCAGCATCGAATCACGATTCACGTCAGAGTTTGAGATGAGTGTGCAGAACAAGGACTATTGCGTACGGGGGACAAAATGGGAAACTTCTACCAAGTGAATTTGTTGTCCGATAGGCAAGGTCGGACCGTGAGACTCGTCACTGACTCCGATGGAAAGCGCGTGGTGATAAAGTCGTACAATCTGACTACTAGCACGCACCTTTCGCACTTCATAGAGATGTGTAGCAAAACTGGGTGCGTTGCGCGGAAAGGTCAACATTGTGCACATCATTGGTGTATTCATTAATGAACATTGGGGCCATATCCTGATGCACCACTATGGAGACGGTGACCTTGCATCGTGGTTGAGAGGTCATCCTCAACGGGATCCGAAGCTTTGTTTATGAATAGCGCATCAGATCGTGACAGCAGTCGAGGACTTGCACGCTCGGGAAATCGTACACAGCGACTTGAAACCTGAGAACATATTCTTAACGTCCACACTGGAGGTGAGTACACAATGACAAGATTTGGTTTCGTGAGCTTAACCGGTCTATTTGGTTGTACAGTGTGTTTCCTTGCAAGCAGATTGATTATGCCTCTACCAAGCCCTTTCGTATCACAAAATACTGTTCAAGTTCCTAACCCCCCACCCCCCCCCCTTCCCCCCCCCCTCAGGAGTTTGATGCAGTTGTACACATTTCTTTTACCTGAAAATTTACCGTTCGAAGGCCTCATCTTTGCGCCCCTCCCGAGTTCATTCAATTTCGTGATCGCTTTTTGAAATTGGCCCTTCATCGCAGGCTGTGCTAGGTGACTTTGATGTCGTGCGGGACGCTAATGGCTCCATATCCGATGCATCGGGAGTGACGTGCCACTACAGGTCCCCCGAGATAAGCGATGGGTTGGTGAGTAGAATCGCCAAGAGTGCAGATGTATATTCACTGGGTCTACTTCTACGCGAGCTGTTCAATGGGGTGAGTCTGAGTGGCATCTACAAAACAGTGAGTGATGAGGACATCGCCTCACTTTGTGCCAGAATGGTCGCAGAACATCCCATTGTCCGCCCAACTCTGCCCGAGGTGGCATCGATGCCTGTATTCAGCGAAGTAAAAAGCGCGCGGCTCCGATTTGCTGTGAGGCATATGTAGTCGCAGAAAGTCTGAGTTTTCCGCAACGGGCATATAACATGCAACGGCTGTCTGAACGATTGGCTTTGTTTCGACATGTCCAATTCGAGCTCTATAACATGGAACAATGGGCTATTGCCGTGCTCAATGCAAGCACACGGGTGCGAGAAGATATGCGATGCTAAGACATATGCTGCTCATGTCGATCAGACCACATTGGATGAAGCCATGTGTTTGGCTAATACCCCGAAAGTGCGCCAGCAACTCCTACTCGAACAAAAGCGAGAAGCCGCGCAGGAGAAAGAGTTCAACTATATTGCCAATGAGATACTACCGCTGAGATGTCCAAACAAGGGACATGTTCTTGACCAGTCGTTCGAAAATTGTTTTGCACTTACTTGCGCTGCATGACCACGGGGTAGCAATGAGTTCTGTGCGTTTTGTTGTAAAAGCTTCGGACGGGACACGCACAGTCATGTATTGTCTTGTCCCCAAAACCCAAACCCAGGAAAACTTTACAACAACTTGAGAGTTTTCCACGACATCATGCGCAAGGTGCGCTCGCGGAAACTGAAGAAATACTGGGCTACCATGGAATTAGATGACAAGGCTAAGCTACAGCTTGCGGCGCGAGTCCAGCCACTTCTGGATCAGCTGACGCCAGTGGGAACATACAAGTCTGTCGCAAATATCATCGCATGAAATGCCTGAATCGCTTGACAGTATACAAGGTACAGTTTCTATCATGGATGAGATAAAACAGATAAAAAATGAATTTCCTGGAGGATCTAGAGAAGTTGCATGTGATTCCCTTTCGATTTATTTTCTTTTGTGATGTTACTAATGATATAATTGATTGATGACGCAGTTGATTTAGTCTGTCTCTAGGTGATTGGCCTTTAGGGAGTCAATCTTCCACTGATTCGCAGACGGCTCAAGGACGTAATCTCGCGCTTGTGAGATCAAAAAATATAAGTGTTTCTAAAACTCCATGATGTAGCATTGAGTTGATCGCTAACTTCTCCGCAGCTTTCACTTGTCTAATCAATGACATTGAATAGACATTTAAACCTTTGGTGTCGTCAGTTGATCTAAGTGCATTAGCCGATTGGTGCAAGGCCTACAAAGTCGAGATATTTAAAGTAACCCGCAAGGTCAAAGGGCTTAATGAGACCTTCGATAGAGCTCATAGTGACTATGAAGCTGAACTAATGGTACCCGTAGTATAGGAGGAGCTGTCGAGACGCGCCGTATGATGCTTCTTCGGACACTGCGTCTAGATTGTAACTGGGATGAGAAATCTTAACATTGACCCAGTTACGGGAAACGCGGTATCTTTCATATAGGTAGCTGCACTGATCTACACAAATACTCCAAGGCTAACTACGAATGCGTCGGACTACTAAGACTGTGCAATCACTGCAACCGTGAGCATGCTTTGCCATGTGACGCCACACCTGCCCTTGTTACAGTTCCTGAATGGCGCTAGGACCGGCAGGGAAGCTGCCCCTCCTTGAGCCACTCGCTATATTCGTAATCTCATCGTCTTGTATGTTCACTAAACCACTCTCCTGTGTGTTCTCTCTCCTGCTGTATCCACTGTCATTCGTCGAACTTCCGGAATTTGAACTTGTTCTTTTGATCTGGTTGTGTAGACTCTCCACTTCCTTAAGTTGATTTTCCCGATATTTCTGATACTTTTCGCTTTTAAGAAATGCGGGCAACCATGATTGTGTGAGATTGTAGTTGACTTCCATCTGCGCTGCTCTGGCGGCCCAGTTGACATTCGTCCAGGCGATCTCGTCGTGTGCGTGCTCAAGAACCTTATTCCGTGTACGTGACACCAGATTCACTTCGTTAACAGACTCAATCACAATGTATTCCTCTACGACAGTCAACCACTCATGCCTTGCTTGTGCAGAATTCTTGGCCTCGGTTTGCTTACACTTATTTATTGCCTCCAGAAACATCAAATTCTCGCCACACAAGTGTTCCATAGAGTTCGCATGGGCAAGCATGAGGGAGAACTGTGTTTAAAAAGAAAAAAATAGCAAAAGAAAGAAGTGTTAGCGCAAAACGTTCGCTGCAAATAAGGAAAGTAGGAAATGGAAGAGGCAAGCGAACTCCCTCTACCAAATAAAACACCAGATCATATGAATTAGAAAAGCTTCACTAAATTCAAAACAAAAACACTGCGTATGTAATATAAACAATCAGAGCATACCAATCCAGGATCCTTGACCATTTGTAGGATATTAGTGCCCAGACATTCCATGCGCCGGTAGTACTCACCCTCGAGATCTATGTCCTCCAAAACTCTTCGTCGGAATAGATGCCGACTCGTCACACGTATGATGATTAGCGCAAAACTATCTATAATGAACATCCATAAGATGTACGGTCCCAAGAATAGGGCAAAGTACGAGAAAAAGGTAAAACTCGTAGGGGTGTTGCTCGAATTTACCCACACCACTGGGATCCAGAAAGTGATGCAAAACGCTATAAATAACCGTATGTTGGAATGAAAGTCGACAAAGGCCTTTTCTGCATCTCTTGTCTTCAAAATCAAAATCAGATAGATGATCGATAAGCTGCCTAAGTACGCGTACAAAGAGCTGAACATCTTCTGCATGCTACAAACATGCCAGTTACACCAGATCATCGGGAGCATGCACGGGATGAACCACAGGAAAGATATAACCACCAACACCCAGTAACGAGGTTTGGTGCCCTGGCTTTCAGTCCTTAGGGCGAGATACATGTACACCAGCCGGCACACTATCGCAGCAAGGAGGCTGCCTGCAGTGAAGAACTGCAACAGCCGTCCAGTTAACAACCAGGAATGATAAGCTGCGTTTGGATCTTTTGGCCTGGTTGGTCGGAATGGCGTCTGGCCAAACCGCACAGCTGCCATGAGTAACCGAGCACTTGGGTGAAGAATCGCGACTATACAGAAATGTATCAGATGCGCATGACGCCTAGATTTCACCTGCAAAAAAATGATGTGGAATCCATTAATGGTTGTGGCAACACACAAAAAGTACATTTTTGTCTCATATGGAACACACGAGCCTTACCAAACCAAACAATCAACAGAAATGCGGTTATTACTGCGCTCAGGTATTACTTTATACAACTCAATACAAAATAAATCGTATATATCGCGGCACAGGCTTCTGTCCTGTCTGAACAAACAATACAAGGCAAAATAGCAGTTCGGTGAGCATCGTTAACATAGTTTATTTCATCTGCCATAGACATTGGCGAAAAATAATAATTGATACTTACCTCTGGAGTATTTCGGAACCGATAGAAGAAGCCACACAACAAGCATGCCATTATCAGGCCGGGTACATTCGCAATCAGCACAAGGCTGAAGAGGTAGTCCCCATTATTCAGCTGTTCGGATATTAAAGGTGCTCTATCCATGGCCAAGTATACAAACACTACCGTGACGCCAAAGAAAACGGCGTAGACTGTACAAAAACCAAACCACAACTTTTTTCTGTGATCATCGTACTCGACAATGTTCTGACTGTTCATGTGGGCAAGTGATGGTGCACCTGTATCCTTTACCTCACGAGCCGCTCCATCTACCGTTACGGCCTCGGCCCTGTTGTTGAGGCAAAATCATTTAAAACACATTTACACGATACTAGGTACTAATCATATGCACGCATTATATATTTTTTGTATCAAAGTTTTTCTTTGCGCAATAATAATGAGAGAATCTAAATACTGGCCTGGAACTGAGTACACTTGTCCGCACATATTTGTGTTGAACACAAAGCCGGTGCAAGTCAAAGACTTGAATCCGTACAAAACTATTACAAGTCAAAAACACATTCTTATACACAAGTATATCAGGTATCTTCCACTCAGTTTAAGTTACAATAAAATATATATTTGAAACGTAGTCGTGCTGATGAAGCTTCCGTATACACGCTCTCTCCCCATATTTCAAGTCTAGAAGAATAATTCAACCGCAGTATGTGCGTACGGTTCACACCCATCATATTGATGCCCTATCTCACTTTTCGGCTAAATGAGAAAATTACATATAGGCGATATCGCGTTATAGAATCATTCTTTGATAACAAATCATTAAAGTCAGAGTTTTTTAAAACCTCACGTGAATGTTTTGCGATTCAGCGCCATTTACAAATACAAGAACAAGCCAAAGTTGTTAGCGAGAAATGTATAATGATTACCTTTGAGCACCTGCGTAATAATCTAGCGTATTCGGGCCATCTGAGACTCCAAATAGAAGTACGTCACTTCCGCTATCATTCACTCTACGAGCTCCGTCTGTAACACCTTTCCCAATTGAATCTTTCTCTCTTTTACTCCATTCCATTGTTTCTTTACTTATGTTTGGACTTTTAGACGCGTATATTATTTACACTACAATATACCCCCTTGATACAAATGCCCCTTGGGCCATCTGAGTACTGAGCGATAGAGTATAAACCAAACTATGTTTCACACTAATCAAAAAATCAACAACGGTTGATTTATATTGATATTCAACACTGCACTTTCACAGTCGTACTGCACTTTCAGTTGTTGTAAAGTTTCTTTGATGAAAGCTTCTCTACATCTATATTTACATGTGTTAATATGGTATATATGTATTTATGTATGTGAGTGTATACTGAGGAAATATTTATAAATTCTTATTTTATATATTTATATATATATTATAACATATCAACAAAATAGACCCTAAAACCCTAAAACATATACATATATATATATATATATATATATATATATATATATTAAAACCATAGCCTTCTGAATAATAGCCTCCTAAATATAACCTTCAGAATTCTATGTATGAGAATTGAAAACACAAGAGGCTATGTAGAAAAAGACATACAAAACCGATTTTATGAGACATACATTTATATTATACGTATTTCTTTAAAATAATTGTAAGACCCACAGTTCCACTATCCAGTGTCCACACATGAAAGTGAAGAACAGATGACACAACGCATAGCTCCTATATTGACAGGGCTGGGCTATGCACAAGGAATTTTAAAAAATGTAGTTATTTTTATTTTTATTTTATTTTAGAAAAACAAAATCTATACGTGAAGACTGAAATGGCTTCTAATAACTTCCATATATATTTGGTCCTACTACTACTCTAGAAACTCCTAGTCCTACAGTTACTACAATATCTGATTGACTGTCTGATATTTCTATTTTTGTGATACTCAAAAGAATAATTTAAAAAAATACTTTTCAATAAAGAGTCAGATATGTGTGTCGTTATCAGTTCAAGAAAATACTCTCTACTCGTTCGAGTACATAGTATCGTCTCACTTGAGTCTGTATTGACTCTGAGACTGGGTGAAAATGTTAGTTGGGTGAGTAGGTGTCTGGGTGGTCACTGGTCAGTGGTCAGTTGCCAGTTGGTCACTCTCTGGTCAATGGCTCATTGGTCAGTCATCACCTACCAGTAATACTAATTCAGTGGCTAATAGTTATTATTTATTGGAGTTTGGACTATGGGGATAGCAAAATAAAGTTCGATGGCTTTTATTTTCAAAACAATCCTTCTTTTTTTTGTTGGTATATTCTATTTCCAAACATTTCAACAACAACAAAAAATTGTATTGGTTTGCGGTCACTCGGTGGGTGTCACTCTGGCTCTGTGTGTGTTGTGTTCGGATTTCGTTATATTCATAATGTTTTCTAGGTTGTATTTTGTTTTTGTTTTTGTTTTTTGTTTTTTAATAAAACCCCCAAAAAAACTGTTCTATTTTCAGAAGGCTTCTTTTCACTTTTTCATTTTTGTAAGTCGCATATAAAGTCGAGGATTCCTCTAAAATTGTTAGTAAGTTTGGTTGCTATTCCTATGGTTAACCAAAAGGAAGAGACACCCAAACTGTGCTGGAGTTAAGTACTACACCGGGACTCAGCCGGTACATACTATACTCTGGGTTGGTAAACGACGCCGACATTTGGGCAAACGACATGTCAAATATGTCGCGGCGACATTTTGTAGGACATGTCGGTCGCAATATGGTGTCGACAGGTCTGCTGCTGGCTGTATCGTAGCCTACATGCACATATCGAGACGACATATCACACATGTCGCGGCGACAATTTTTTCAGGGGTGTATTTATGTCGTTGTCGTATACCAACTGTTAAGCCAAAAAGACTATGTCTATACGACACCCTTCACTATAAAATTATTAACGCACGAGGCCCCGAGCCCGTATCCAAAGCCACATCCGGTCCATTCGCAAAGGTAGGGTCGATATTTATGGGCCCACGTGAGGCGGCATTGGCCCAAGTACCGAACTATTGAGTGTGTACACTTAAACCTTTACCGATACAATAGTCAAGTATCAGTTTTCGGTACATAATCTACACCTATCACCTGAAATAGAATACAACGCCTCAGACTAGATGAGCCAATGTTCTGTTAACCCTGTGAGCGTGAATTCGTGGATCCATACTTTTGAATATTATATAATAATAAAAATGTTTCATAACCTTCTAAATTATGCAAGAGAAGGTTATGTATGATCGTGCACTGTAGTTCAACAATGTTGAATATTGGTTTGCCTTGTTCTGTTTGTAACGTTTCATAGCCTTCTTCTAAATTATACAAAAGAAGGCTGTGTATAATCGTGCAGACGTGCACTGAGGTTCAACAATGTTGAGTATTTTTTTATCCCGCTCTTTTTTTAAGTTTCATAGCCTTCTTCTAAATTATACAGGAGAAGGCTATGTAAATATGATCGTGCACTGTAGTTCATCCACGTTGAATTTATTTATTTTGTCCCGTTCTGTTTGTAGATTTCAGGTCCAAGGGATTTTGTCCTGTTCTTTGATTTCATTAACCGCCAATTTGCTTTTTAGAACATAAAATTACTCGGTTCATATAAATAGGAATACTAGGGCTCGAGCATTAATACTTTTATAGTGACAGGTGCTGTATAGACAAAATCCTGTCATCACTATTTCAGACCCAATAACAATTTGGTACACAGGAAAGTGACAGCTATTCGACGTGCTCTCATAATGACAGCTGTCAGATGTGTCATAGTAGTGACTGTCAACAGTGTCATACAGGAATTGACACTTATATTCTTAGGTCTTATAAAAAGATCATATTATACTTACGTGTGAACTCCATATGCACATGTAAAAGAAATACATATATAATCTATCACTAGAGAGAACAATAAAAAATATACTATACATGAATTTAATTGTTCTAACAGGCTATGAGCCTCGGCTAGACATCACGTCTACCATACACTCTTAGTATCTTTATTTCCCTGTATTTCTCACAACTCCATATTCGGCTACCACACAGCCACACGCATCTGCTGGTATCACAATTACCGGTTCAAATATAGCACACATCACGATGCAACCTTCTGTTGAAGTTATTACTCCTCCTCTTGAGTTTCTGTAAACTTCGATGGATATTTCTGAGTCTTAAACTATTGTAAAATTCTGTCTATCAATGCGATAATAACGCCTTGGGATAATTAAACGCTTAGGTTAAGTCTAAGTATCGTGAAATTAGAAGTAAGTAAACGAAATGAGTCTTTTGGTAAAGTTAGGTATG